GTGTGTGTGTGTGTGTGTGTGTGTGTGTGTGTGTGTGTGTGTGTGTGTGTGTGTGTGTGTGTGTGTGTGTGTGTGTGTGTGTGTGTTGTGTGTGTGTGTGTGTGTGTGTGTGTGTGTGTGTGTATGTGTGCCATTTTGGAGGCAGGGAGTCAGTTGAAGTGAACGACAGGCCAACGTCAGCGTGAGCAACACAACATGACAAGCACTGCATGCAGGCAAAACACGGGACGCACCAAGGAAGAAGATGAGCTTCTGCTGCTCCTGGATGTTGATGCCGTCCATGCGACGCAGGTTCGAGCACGCGCTGTGGCAAAAGGGAAGCCAGAGAGAAGCAAAACCACCCATTCAGAAGCAGTTTTAGTCCCAGGAGCAGACTCCGGTACTCGGGCACTCGACATGCATGCAGGCACGCATAACGGGCGGAAAACATACACATAGCACTTCCTACGCACGCCGCATGGCTAACTAACACATAAAGCGCCCAAGCAGCACACTTGCAAACACACAGCGCGCACAAACCGCTTGTAAGCCGAAAGGTCGTTGCTCCATGCGCTCTTGACATTCTTGAGGTTGTCCACGGTGAAGAGCATGCCGAACAAGCTAGAAGGAACAGAAGGAACGCAGGCAACACGCACAACACGACAGCCATGAGATACAATGTACAGTGGCGACGAGCGACGCAAGGTGGGTCACATGTCCAGCCAGATATAGCTGCCAGGCACACGGACAGACCTAATGAGGTTTGACGTGACGCCGTCAGGGATGAGCGCCGTTTCACGCTTGCCTTTGACATATGTCTCTGCAAGGAAGGCGATGACTTCGCTCACGAGCTGGATTGCTTCCTGTCAAACGTAAAATAGGATGTACGCATGCATGTGTATGTGAGAGTGTGCGCATGTGTGTACGCATGCATGTGTATGTGAGAGTGCGCGCATGTGTGTATGTGTGCATGTGTGCATGTTGGCTGTCTTTGTGTGTATGTTGTGTGTCTTTGTAAACAGTCTTTGTGTGCATGTCTGTGTGCTGCGTGTTTTGTGTTGGCTTGTGGAGAGAGAATGCATGCAAGCGTGTGCAGATGCGAGTGTCTTGCGATGCGCACCTCCTGAAAGATGAGAAAGTACTTCATGCGGTCCACTTCTGGCTGCAGGATCTGCACCACGAACACGCAAGCAAAGGAAGTAAAAGGCCATCAATGAGAAAGTGAAACATGGTTTGCTGTGTCAGCTCTCATAATGGTTTGCTGTGTCAGCTCTCATAATGGTTTGCTGTGCCAGCTCTCATAATGGTTTGCTGTGTCAGCTCTCATGTGTGCGTGTATCTCTTCTCTCTCTCTCTCTGTCTCTCGCTTACCCTGATGCTCTCCTCGTACAGCTTCTCCTTGTTGGGCTGGTTGTTGCTTTGCAGCTGCGGGGCCGGTGTGCAAGTGCTCGGGTGTGAGTGGTGAGACCACAGACGAGCTGGACTTTGGCGTTTGGGGCGGGGCAGGCGGGCGGCGGACAACAGACAAAAAGACAACAACAGCAAACAGGCAGGCCATGGTAATGCTGGTGCTGATGGCAAGTGGATTCACCTGAGGGATTGCTTTGGAGAGGGAGCGAGCAGCGTACAGGACGTACAGGTACTGCTCTGCCTTCTTGACATAGGATGCCTGGAGGGGGGGGGGAGAAAAATAGGGTGGATGCAGCACAAAGACGCGTTGTGTGAGCAGGCGGTGGGCGTGGTGCAAAAGGGCACTGCATGCAGGCACACGGTGTGGGCTCATTGCAGCAAGGCACTGGCTATCACAGGCAAGCACATCACTCCTGCATGCTTGATTGCCATGACCCAAGGACATAGCATACGCACATAACCGTGTACGTACGCAAGCCAGCAAACGCACAAGCGTGCAAACACGCAAGCAAGTACAAGCACACAAGCAAGCAAAAACAAACACACGCACGCACACACACACACACACACACACACACACACACACACACACACACACAAGCAAGCAAACACACACGCGCGCGCACCAGGCTGGATGCCAGCTTGGCTTGGTGTGCCATGTTTGGGTCCACAGAAGAAAAGATGGCCGCATCCTGCAAAGCTGGGTCTGCAGTGCAGTGGGAGGTGCCTGCAGGCACGCGTTCCGGCGTCAGCGTCTCCTGGTCATCGCTGAGGTTGATGTCCCGACGCAAAATGTCCACCTGCACCAACAATACATCAGCAACAACCGTGAAGCCAACAAGCGATTGCCTTGAAGCACCGCACGGGCGCTGCCCCCATGACTACTGCAGCCATCTCAACCACCAACCACCCCTCTTCCCACAGCCACAACCACAACCCGCCACCACCGACCACCACCACCACCACCCCGCTTTCACTTGCTGACCTGGGCCGTGGCCTTCTCCATCGTCCTTTCGCTCAACTCGATCTCGCACAACACAAACAAATGGGACCACGACAGCACAAAAAAGATCTGCCAGCTTGTACACAGTTAGATGGTACGGGCCCAAGCAGTTCGGAAGCTTCGCATCAAATCATTTTTGCTGGAGCTTCCCCAAAAGTTTTGTCTGTCAGTTTATTTTACCTTCAGCAATGAACAATTTTTATTTTATTGTGTAACAGCCCAACCATACCCCCGCAAACTTCTCACACAACAGCGACACCAGATCGTCATCATCGTCCTCGTCTCATACCAGAGCCTCGACGCCTCAAGCCAACCCTCCTGTAGTGGAGCACCGCAGCATTCACGCATTCACACGAAGTAAGTGAACAACAGAGTACAAGACGACCGTGCAACAGGGCACACCGCACAAAACCTCGCCAATGTGAGAGCGAGTCCTCTATTGCTTGATCCATCTTTCTCTTTGGTTGGATGCTTGCAAGCAAGCCATCCATGCAGATGCGCGCTATCTCTTCATGTGAGCTGAGAGGCAGAGTGAGATTCGAACGAGTGATGAGAAGCAACCCCGCAAGCTTTCAGCCCTGCAAACGGAAGAGAAGCAGCTCATAGAGCGCAAGCATCCTCCTCACGCAACACTTTGCTGCTCAAGTGGCTGTCGCAAGAGAGCACGCTTGCACTCTTGCACTCTTGCACTCTTGCATGCTGGCTGTTGGTTCTTCTGCCGGTGGCCTTCGTTTGTTGCACACTCCGTTGTCATCTTAGCGGCCATTCCTTCATCTCTAACAACGCGCCATTGTTCCAATTGTTCTGTCTCCCTTTTCGTCTTTGCTTACTTGCTTGCTTGTTGGTGATCCTGATCCGTGGCCGTAGCCTTTCCATTTTCCCGTTATTAGTAGCAATCAAGATCACGACATCAAGGCTGCCCCGATGGATTTGCCGCTCAACTGTGCTGTGCAGGGCACGGCGTCTGTGGGAGACGAGGTGTGTGCTTGTATGTATGTATGTATGTATGTATGTATGTAAGTATGTGTGCATGTATGTATATATGTTTGTATGTATGTATGTATGTATGTATGTATGTATGTATGTATGTATGTATGTATGTATGTATGTATGTATGTGCAGCATGCCCATTGCGATGCGATGCATGCGTCTGTTGTGCTCGAGTTCTCCGAGTTCTTGCCCTGCTTGACTGGCTGCTCTTGCTGCAGTTACATGGGAGCCAGGCACACTAGCACACTGTTCAGTCCGCAAGCTGTGTTCAATGGTTGATGGCATGCATTCCTGTTTGTGTGACTCTTCTCTGCCGCTTGGGTTGTTTGATGCACAGGTGCAAGTTGTCGCACCAACCCGCACGACCATTAACGGCCGCAAGGGCATCGTGCTGGACGTCCCTGGCGGACGCAACAAATCTTGGTACACCATCAGGTTCGTCTTTGTGAAGACATGCCCCCGCCCCTCTGTGCAACTGACGTGAAGAAGCACCACGGGTCGATTACCACCACCGCCGTACCACCGCCACCATCACCACCACCACCACCAAAGCATCATTGTGCCCTTGTGCCAACACTCAAGCCACGTGCACGCGTGCGCGAATGCAACGAGCGACCCACATTGCCCGTGTACATCCCACAACGACTCCCTTCCTCGTGTCTCACAGGATGGAGCACCAACTCCGCCCTGTCAAAGTTCGTGGGAGTGAGCTGCAGCTGATGAGCGCAGCTCCTTCAACGCTGGCCTACTCAAGAAGGAGGTAGACGCGCACATGCTCACATGCTACTGTGTCCCCAGTGCGCCACCGCACGCTCACCAGGGCAGTAGTGGTGCCCTTGCTGATCTGATCGTCCAGGCTGCTATGCCATGCTTCCTCAAAACACCATCATGCTATGCCAAAGCCACCAATCATCGCCTCCTCACGCACTTGATGCTACGCCCCCCCCCCCAAGCAGGCTCCGAAACAGCTTGCCTGCGATGGGCAGCGCCACTCCGACTTCTGCAGCTGCTGCAGCAAACACAGCATTTACTCATCGCTACACGTCGGCAACGCCTCCCGTGAGTCGGCAAGCCCACCAGCCGCCTTCTGCGCAGAGGCGACATGCAAGCATGCACGGAGACATGCAAGGGCGGCTTCTCGGCATGTCCAGACCGCATAACATGCACCAGGCACAGCCCCAGCCCAAGCCCCAACCTCAGCTGGCTGCGTCGATGACCCGCACAAGTCTAGCCCAACGCACGCCTAGCACGCCCGCCTCCGCGTCCTCGCTCACCCCTGCGCCAGTACTGGACACCCCAAGCAGCAAGCGATCTGAAGGCAGCACGGTGAGGGCTGCCGCGTCCACGCCGAGCAGCGTGCATGCAGGTGCTACACACGCTAATATGGCGCGCTCACAGTTACACGCAGCCGACTTGCGAGACGGCGAGCCCCACCACCATGTACACCGCCAGCAGCGACACGAACAAAAGGACGACCAGCCAGCCGCCCCCATGCGCCCCGTTCCGACGGTTCTTGCGACATCATCCACGCAAGTGCCAGTAGCGCCACCAAACTCGAATGACCTGTGCCCGTCTCCCCAGGAGCGTCCCCACACCGTACGTGACAGACCGCACCTGTACGCGGGCAGGGATGTCGTCGACGAGCGCGGCGGTGCGTCATCACAGCAGCAGCTCACAGCACGGACCAAACGCCTCGGCCCAAAGCAGCCAAAGAGGGCCAAGGTGTGTGTGTTGCCTCTGCCTTCCAGCAATGTTCCCGTGCCAGAAATCGAGGAGCAGCCTGAAGAGCACATTGTGCGCCTGCGGAAGAAGCGCATGAGAGAAATGCTGCGGAAGCAAAGCTTGGGACGCAGACGCCCTGTGCAGTACCAAACGCTCTCTTTTGGCCTTCTCGTGCCGCAGCCGTCAAATACCACCTCCGGCTCCGCCGTTGTTTTGCACCATGCTTCAGACAAGGACCTGCGCGGGCGCTCCGTTGTGATTGACCAACTCTTTCCGCACTTGCCGCTGTTGGAGTCCTCATCATCATTGGCTGACTTCACCCCCGAGGCATATGCGTTTCGCAACCCGGTGTTCCGCATTCCAAACCTCCGCCGCCTACCGCCGATCGACGCATCGCCTCAGCCGCCATCGCTGCTCCCACAACAGCAGCCGCCTGTGCCCATCACAGATGCGCGCCAGCACCAAGCTGTGAGCTACAGCAGCAGCACTGCACATGAAGACAACAGACACGCAGCTGTCGGATTGTTTCCGCCTTCCACTGCTTTTCACAAGCCAGAACACCATCGCCTCGCCCTTCAGCACCACACCCTAGTTCTTCCAGAAACCATCCTATACCAACGCTGCAAGCAGCGGTACATACGTGTCTGTCAGTGTGTCTGTGTCTGTGTCTGTGGGATGCGTGAGCTTGCGCGTCTGTGTCTGTGTGTTTGTGTGTCTGTGTCCGTCTGTCTGTTTGTGTATGTCTGTCTGTGTCTGTCTGTGCGTGCACTTGTGTGTGTGTGTGTGTTTGTCTACCCATCTGTGCGTGTGTGTGCGTGTGTTTTTTTTTTTTGATGTTTTGCTGGCCTGCCTGCAAGCAAACTTTGCCTGCTGCAACGTGTCGTGAGCCTTTTGCTTGGTGCTCACTTGTCTTGCTGCGCTTGATTTGTGTGTCTCGCAGGGTGTGGCGTGAATGCGAGCAGTGCCACGTCGCCTTCAGCACTGCTGTGCATGACATGGAAGCGTGGGGTGTTGACGCGAGTTTCCACAACTACTGCAGCATGCGTTGCCTTGGTTGCGCCCAACAAGCCAGCCCTACTCCTCCTGGAACAGAAGCGAGCATCAACCTCGTTTGCCACACGCAAGCCGTGCTACCATCATGCACAAGCGCAGAGACCAATGTGTCTCCATCTGGTGAGCTAATGGCGTGCATGTGTGAATGCACATGCTGCTGGCGCTTCCTGTCAAGAGTGCTGCAACATGAACACAAGTCACTCATCACACACACACACACACACACACACACACACACACACACACACACACACACACACACACACACACACACACACACACACACACACACACACACGCACGCACGCACGCACGCACGCACGCATGCCTCACCCACACACACGCATGCCTCACCCACTCTGCTTTGTTCCGTGTTGCGCACGCAGACATGCGGGAGTCGCCTGTGGTGATGGAGCGTGCGTGGGAGCGCGGGGACGCAGCCATCTTCCAAGACAAGGACCCGTGCGTTGTCTACGGCCAGTTCTTTGATCGCAAGGGCGAGCAGTACGTATACCTTGTGTCCATGGCCATGCACGTCACGGCGCCCGCTCCTAAGGTAAATGTGGATGAGTGTGAGGTGAGTGAGAGAGAGGGTGTGTGTGCTTATTTGTGTGCATGCGTGTGAGTGTGAGTGTGCGTGTGTGTGAGTGTGTGTGTGTGTGTGAGTGTGCGAGAGGGCAACATGCACAGTTGGAGCGCTGATGGGCGTTGCGGTTGCGTAGCATGACGAACTCGCCCATTGGCTGTGGTTCACTGCTCCTTTGTTGTGGCTGATGCCTCGTTCTTCTTGGCTCCAGGATCCAGAGGCGATTGCCCGCCTGCCCAAATCCGCGTTTTCGCTCGATCGTCGCATTCTGAAACCACTGCCAGCACGCCTGCTCACCTGGCGGTCAGTTGACGTCGTGCCTGACACCCGCGATCACCTGTGGAACGGCAGTGGCTTGTGCCTCCATCACTCGTTCACTGACGTCCCCCTTCCCCCCTCTCTCTCTTCATCACTGTGGCCAACATTCTCACTCGAAACACCTACACTCTCACTGCGCTCACGGGCTTTTGCTTTTTCCGAAGGCTGGGTTTCCAATGGGACCTGCCAACGTTCATCACGCAAGAGGTCTTGACGGTGCGTTGGACATGTTGCCCGCTTTCTTGCTCGCATGCGTGCATGCATGCACGTGTGTGTGTATGTGTGTATGTGTGTGTATGTGTATGTGTGTGTGTATGTGTATGTGTGTGTGTATGTGTGTGCGTGCGTGTGTGCTGCTACCAATTGCAAGAAGTATTGTGTTGACACGCGTGCCCTTCTCCGTATCTCATGCACATTTGTGAAATTGCTGTCCCTCGCTGTTACACCGCCCACCGCAAACACGGCACCAGGCGGCAAAGGCACGCGCTGCACAGCTGGTGCTTGGCGCCAATGACACCACCACCACCACCGCTGACAGCAGCACCGACGCCCTCGAACCGCCGTCTCCGCCACCACTGATTGACGAGGCTGACGTGCGCAGGCGCCACCGCCATCGCCTTGCTGGCCCACGTGCCCCGACATTGCCAACCAGACCCGCAGCTGCACCCAAACAGACACTCACGAAACCGAGCGCGTTTCCGTTCTTTCCCGAAGGCACTCACGCCCCCGACTTCCTGGTTGGTGTGTACATATGCTTGTGTGTCTGTGTTAGTGTGTGTGTGTGTGTGTGTGTGTGTGTGTGTGTGTGTGTGTGTGTGTGTGTGTGTGTGTGTGTGTGTGTGTGTGCAGCTGCAATCAATGATTCCCTTCTTTTCTTTGTTGCATTCACTGTCGTCTCACGCTTGCTCTTGCTTTGCTCCCATGTATGTGTGCTTGCAGGCCGAACAGTTGTGGAATTTTGTCATGTCCGAGGAGTGCAAGACGCCAAACTTTGCGGAAAAGCTGGTGTGTGTGTGTGTGTGTGTGCATACATGCGCCATCCAGTGGTTGCAACTATGTGAAGGTGTGCATGTGTGCATGTGTGTGAAGCGAGGAAGCGGGTATGAACACGCTCACTACTCGGGCCCTCATCGCCATACATGGTCGTTGATGCTGTCTGCGTGTGCTGTGTCCTCCCAGAACATGGAACTTCGCGGTGTGCAGGACATGACGGCCTTTGAGAAGTACTTCCAGCGGTACACCGGTGCAGCACAGACTTTCTTTGGCAGCCAGAGGTCAGTGTGACACTACTGCAGAGCTTGCACACGCTCATCCTGTGGCTCTTGCCGTTCCACGCACCACTCTTAAAGACCCACAACACCCCTGGTGCTACTTCTGCTCCTGCTTGCTTGTTCGTTCTCTTGCGTGGGAATTTGTTGACGTGAGATTATGTGCTGCTTGCTGCGCTGGTTTCATGTCATGACTGTAGGAACTGGCGAGAGCACCTGCACATGATCTGGGAGGCGCTGCCGGCTGCCTGCAGGGAACGCTATGCCTTTCCCACTGAGTTTGAGACCCCGAAAGCAGCAACGAAACCTGGGACGAGGATGGAGCAATGGGAGGCCTGCCCCAAACACCTTCACCACACACGTATGTGACGGGGCGCGATACAGAGGCTGCTGTGTCGGTCTCCCTCGGAGTGAAGAAGCAGTGTGTGTGTGTGTGCGTGTGTGTGTGTGTGTGTGTCTGTGTGTATATGCATGTGAGTATGTGCATGTGTGTATGTTTGCCTGCCTGCCTGCCTGCCTGTGTGTGTGTGTGTGTGTGGAAGTGTGTGTGTGTGTGTGTGTGTGTGTGTGTGTGTGTGTGTGTGTGTGTGGAAGTGTGTGGAAGTGTGTGGAAGTGTGTGGTAGTGTCTGTCTGTTTGCCTGCCTGTCTGTCTATCTGTGTGAGTCAGTTTACCTGCCTGCCCATCTGCACCATCTCTTGAGGTCCCTCACCTGTGAGCTTGCCTGCATGCACTGTAGATGATGATGCAAGTGTGACGCTGGCAATGCTGATGCGGCATCCACGAAAGCCCCGCAATGTGCCTGTCCGCGTGTGGGCCCAGCGCTTGCGGGAGCAGCAGCAGGAACTACGGCTACAACGCCGCGAGTTGCGGTTGCAACAGCAGCAGCAACAACAACGACAACAGTTACAACAACAGCAACAACAGCAACAACAACAACAACGACAACAGCAACAGTTACAACAACAGTTGCAGCAACATCAGGGCAATGCATCTGGTGTGCCGTCTGTCATGTTGCGCAACCCAAGCAATGTGCTAGCGGTGGGCGTGGATGGCCAGTCGATGCCTGCACGCCTTTATGACACCACGCGGCTGATGCAGGAGTCGCGGAAGGCGATGAGGCAGCCACACAGCAGTGCACGACCCGGTACCTCTGAAGTGAAGTCGTCCTCGCCTGCGCCAGTCATGGCGTTCGTGGCGAAGAAGAGCAGGAAGAACAGGACGAGAAAGAACAACAAGGCAGCAGCAACCACGACAGCAAAACCGGCCAAGATGACCAGGATGACCAAGATGCAAGTGCACACCGGCGACACTGCTGTACTCGACTACCATCACCACCGCCCTCGCGACCCTTCTGCACGTGGTCATGCAGTGGACCGCCACGCTGGCTCTGTCGAGGCAACAGCGGTGCCGCAGCCTGCTGTGGAGTGACAACAGGGCTAGGTGGAGGTGGTGAGAGGAGCTCTTGGGAGGCAGGGGTGGAGTCGTGGAGTGGACGAGTGGCTTGGAGTGCTGGCTGGGGTGGTGCTCTGGTGCTGGAGTGGGGACGGGAAGACAGTAAGACAGGAGGACGCTCAGGAGGTGTGCTGAGGAAGGAAGGAAGTCTCGCCTCGATTAAAATTGCATGGAATCGCCCTGCCATTGCGCACTTTTTTGTTGCCACTGCACACAAGCAGGCAATACGAAGCAACCCAGCCAAAGCAAGACGCTACCTCAAGGATAATGTGGTGGAGGCGAGCAGCTGCCCTTGCGATGCAGGGAGGTGCAGGCGGCCGTCATCAGGGCCTCGTGCACAGGGGTGGTTCGCAGAGGGTGGCGAGCGTTGTTTGGACGCGCACGCTGTTCTCGCGGCCGGCCGCTTGCCCAGCTCCCCTTCGCACACAAGCAGGATACGCTGCGGCCTCAGGAGTTTTGCACGTGGAAGGATGGCCCTCACGCATGGCCAGGTGCTTGCACATCACAAGCCTTGCTCAACGAGCCCTCCAAAACAGGAGCACCGCGAAACACCACGTGGTTTTACGGCGATGGCTTCAGCAGCGTGTCCTCCACCAACAAGGGCAATCACAACCATCCCACACGTCGAGATGGTCAAAATGGCAGCAAGGAACTCGGCAACGGCTCAGCACAACTCGACAGCAGAGGCAGCACGGCACCGACAAGCACGGCACACATCCATCATCCTCAGGTGCCTCGTCACCGTCGTCCTCAGCGGCACCAGGCGAAGCAGCAGGCGGCCAGACCGTCACCCAAGCAGCTTCCGCACGCGTGACGGAGGCCGCAAGGCACACGTACATGCGGTACCGCAGCCTGGAGGAGCAGTTGCGATGGCATGGCATCAACATGCTCGCGGTGCTGATAGCCATTGTGATTGGCAGCGCCATTGTTGCTGTTGTGCTGTACTTCAACCGTGAGCCGCTGCGAGAGAACCTGTCCTCGGAGATCTCCAGCGCAGCGAAGCGCTCGCTCTCCAACGAAGAGGTTGTGGCGAAAGCCAACGAAGTGACGCGTGACATGGTGTACACGGTCCTCACGGACCCTCAGACGGTTCAGTACGCCAGCCAGTTCCTCTCGGAGCTCTTTGCTAAACCCGAGACGCGGGCTGCCACAGCCAAGCTCCTCGTTCAGGTTCGCCTATATTTTGTGTGTGTGTGTGTGTGTGTGTGTGTGTGCGTGTGTGTGTGTGTGCGTGTGTGTGTGTGTGTGTGTGTGTGTGTGTGTGTGTGTGTGTGTGTGTGTGTGTGTGTGTGTGTGTGTGTCTCTCTCTCTCTCTGGCTGTATCCATTGTCCCGCGTTTTCGTATCTAGTTGCATTCTAACTCAACCTCATCCCCTCTCCCTGCCCCCAACCCCCCTGCTCACTGTCTGCATCTGCTTGTCTCCCTTTCTCCCACTCTTTCCGTGACACGTGCGTGTTTGTGCGTGCTGCTGCTGCTGCTGCTGCTGCTGCAGGTGATGAAGGACGAGGAGTGCCTGGGGCAAACGCAGCTGTTTTTCCGCCGCGTGGTGGACTGGCTCTCCAAGGACAAGCAAACGCAGGAGAGCCTGACGAAGCTGATTTTGTACATCCTGGCCCGTGACGACACGCGCCGCGCTGTTGCCCGCATGCTGCAGAGCGTGCTGCAGGATTCTGCCACGCGCAAGCAGGCCGGCGAGCTTACCGTGTCCGTGCTGCAGATGGACAACGTGAAGCACCAAACTGGGGTGCTGGCCACAGATGCCTCGCACCGTGTGCTGGACAACGACAGCGTGCGCGAGCACACGGTGCAGTTCTTCAAGGACACCTTTGCCAACCAGAGCCTGCAGCAGGAGGCTGGCTCGGCCATCTGGGGTGCTGTCAAGTACAGCATGACTCCCTCCATCCTCGGCTATGTGCTCTTCCCGCAGCCAAAGGTGTCCCTGCCAGCGGACGAGCAGCCATCTCCAGTAGCATCCACCGCAGCCACCGCAGGCGACCAAGGGCCGACTGATGCAACAACGACAACGACAGGAACAGCAGCAGCAGCAGGAGGAGTAGCAGGAGCACAATCCACGGAACATGCAGCGACACCAGCCCCTGACCGTGCTGGCACAACAGCGCCCGGGGCAGCTACACAAGCGCAGCAGCCTGATGATCAAGATGTTGTGATTGTGCAAGAGACACCACCCAAGGCAACCACAGCAACAACAGCAACAACAACACCTACAGCACCCTTGCCCCCTCCACCCATCACAGCACCTCCGCCAACACCACAGCCTTCTGCGGCAGCCGTGAGCGAGTGAACAATTTGTGGTGTCAGGGACAGTTTTTGAGAGTTGTTGGGCGGCGGCGGACACACCACGCGAACCACGACCACGACGCTCACGACCCTGTGCCATGTCCATGCGCACCATCGTTGACGGGCTGTGCGCCCGATGCTGTGAGTTTGGTTGACAAACAAGGGGAAGGAGAGGATGTGTGTGTGTGTGTGTGTGTGTGTGTGTGTGTGTGTGTGTGTGTGTGTGTGTGTGTGTGTGTGTGTGTGTGTGTGTGTGTGTGTGTGTTGAGGGAGGGGTTTAACGTAAGGGCGTTACCCGTGTTACAATTTAACCTTGCTTGCTTGCTTGGGATGGCATTGTGCGTGTCAACAAAACACAGCAGTCGAGTTGCCTTGCTTGCTTTGCTTGCTTGCTTGCCTGTGGATGTTGTGCCGCATCGCGTCACGCTTGATGAACAACAACAACACATGTGAATGAGCGAACGAATGGGGTAATACGCTGGGGTAGCCCTGCTTCTGGTGTGTGTAGCGCAACGACCAACCACCAATGAACCCTTGTCTGCTGTGTCGCCTGATTCTGGTTCGTGTGTGCCATGTGAACAGACAAGGCAGCAGAGAGCCGCTGTGGCAAGTGCAAGACGCGATGCTACTGCTCCACAGCATGCCAGAAGAAGGTGTCATCTGCTGTTCCTGGCTCTAAGCTGGCCTGTCACACTTGCACATGTTGCACGACTGGCCGTGTGCGTGCGTGCGTAAGTGTGTGCGCGTGCGTCCCTGCTTCCCCCTCCCCCCTCCCAACACGCACACACACGCTCTCTCCCTTCCTTGTTTTCCTGTGTGCAGGATTGGATGCTTGGCCACAAGTTCTCCTGCTGTACAGATCCACACCCTCCCGTCGCCAAGCATCCACAACAACCATCAGGGTATGTGCGTGTGTTGCGTTGTGTGTTGCGTTGTGTTGTGTTGAACGTGTATCCTTTGGTGGTTGAACGTGTATCCATTGGTGCGTCCTTTGTTGTGTGCTTGAACGTAAACCTTGCGCTGCATGCATGGACGCTGTGCACCCGCATCATGTCACATCACAACGAAACGCGTAACAGGGTGCTCAATGACCCCAGCGTGATTGCCGGCTCCGTTGATGTCCGACCTCTCCCAACGACATTGGGCCTTGGTATGTTGCCTCGCACGCGTGTGTTATATGTTGCGAGTGTGAAAGATTTGGGAATGGGCGCTTTGTGGTGCACTGGAATGCCCTTGTTGATGTGCCCGTTCCATGTGCGCTTGCAACTGATTCCATTACCTATGCGCTGCGGACACAGCCAATGTTGGGAACACGTGCTACATCAACGCTGTCCTGCAATGCATCAACGCCACCACCATCTTCCAACGAGCACTCGCATCCCTTCCAAACAAGGTAAACGCATCACACATCGAATCACGGCGGTGCACGTTGTTACCGTGAAGAGTGTTCAAGCACAAGCGCAAGATCGCCCGATACATGTACATGTACATGGTGCACGGGGTGCGTGACATGGTGTGTCATGACGTGGAAGCCGCTCACACGTGCATATCGCCCTTCTCCTTAACTTCGTCTACATTCCGCTTGCTGTTGTGTTCAGGATGAGGAAGGCACGCTCGTGCACAAGATGCTTGCGTTGATGGGAGAACTCTCTGGGTCCGATGCTGAAGCAGATCAAGCGGCACCAGCCGCCGTCAACCCCGTGCACGTCGTCCAACACCTTCTCACTCTTAGGTATGGATGTGCGGGTGTGTGTGTGTGTGTAGTTGTGCAGGTGTGTGTGTGTTGGGTGGGTTGGCGAGAGAGAGAGAGAGAGAGATTGTGTGTGTGTGTGTGTGTGTGTGTGTGTGTGTGTGTGTGTGTGTGTGTAGGTGTGTGTGTGTGTGTGTAGGTGTGTGCGCGAGTTCGACTATATCCGTACCCCTGTGTGTGTGCATCCCTGCGTATGCCTGTTCGACATGCGCTACAGCGCTGACCCGCTGATGTTCAACACCCTCACCCTTCTCCTCACACGTACACCACCCTCCTCTTGCTGCCAGCTCCGACTTTGTGTTTGGGCGCCAGGAAGATTCGCACGAGCTGTATCAGACGCTGCTGCGCGGTCTTGCCAAAGACATGACCCCCGCGGGCCACCACCTCCCCGTCTGCGACCAGGTGGGCTGTGCTGTCGTGTGTCCTCGGCAAGGCGTGTGCTCAAGTCGTGGTTGAGTCGTGACTTGGTCACTGGCACGCACACCTCACTGACAAGCTCCCGTACAAGCTCACACAAAGTCACACGCGCACACATGCACGACTGCGCCCCACCACGACCTCCTTCAGGAGACGACGTTTGTGCATCAGCTGTTTGGCGGTACCATTGCCAGTCAGCTCATGTGCCCAAAATGCCAGTACACGTCCACATCATACGAATCATGCTTGGACCTGCAGCTGGAAATCAAGGAGGAAATCACAGACACGCTTGAGGAAATGCTTGAAGGTGATGTGCCCTGCCGTGTTAGTGGTGTTGTGTTGACACACTGTGGGAGGTTGTGCCATTGTGAGTGTTGCATGATCGTGTGTGTACGGCCACATGCGCGGGTGTGCAATATTTTCGGTTCTGTGTTCCGTAATCTCAATTACCCCCTCGCCCCCTCGTCGTGTGCTTGTCTTCCTCACCTCATGCACCTTCCACGCTTGCTTTGACAGCATTCACGTGTCCTGAGAAGCTCGCTGCCGACAACAAGTGGAAGTGCGAAAGCTGCAACAGCCACGTGCGGTGAGTAGCATTGTCGCATGCACACGCACACACATGTACACATACACATGCACACACACACACACACATACACACGCACGCAGTGCAGTGCACGTCGCTTGCTGTCATTCGTCGTGTTGGAGAGCCACCCACGTTCACTGTCATCCTTCCAGCACAAAGCCCACGCTCACGTACATGCACGTGCATATACACGCATATGCGCATACACTCCGGCCACCAGGGCGCTGAAACAGCTTTCTGTGTACAAGGCGCCAAACATCCTGTGCATTCAACTCAAGCGCTTCCGGCTCGGCGTGTTTGGAAAAGTCAACAAGCACATTGCCTTTCCTCACCAGCTCAACCTCAAGGTCGGTGTGTGTGCGTGTGTGTGTGTGTGTGTGTGTGTGTGTGCGTGTGTGTGTGTGTGTGTGTGTGTGCGTGTGTGTGTGTGTGTGTGTGTGTGTGTGTGTGTGTGCGTGCGTGCGTGCGTGTGTGTGTGTGTGTGAGTGCGTGTGTGTGTGTGTGAGTGTGTGTGTGTGTGTGTGTGTGTGTGTGTGTGTGTGTGTGTGTGTGTGTGTGTGTGTGTGTGGGTGTGTGCGTGTGTGTGTGTGTGTGTGTGTGTGTGTGTGTGTGTGTGTGAGTGTGTATGTGCTTGCTTGCTTGCGTGCCCCATTCACACCCCCTGCTATAATCACCCGGTCAAACGAGCGAGAAGGCCACCGATTTGCCTGCGGAGAATGACCACCTCCAAAAAATATAA